AAAAAAAAAAAAAAAAAAAAAAATTCAAAAAAATTACCCAGGCATGGTGGCATGTGCCTGTAGTCCCAGGTACTCGGGAGGCTAACGCACAAGAATTGTTTGAACCTGGGCAGCCGCAGTTGCAGTAAGCTGAGATCACACCACTGCACTCCATCCTGAATGACAGAGCAAGACTCCGTCTCAATTGAAAAAAAAAAAATCAGGTAGAGTATTCTGACATATACAGTTGAAACTGAAAACCAATAGTGCAAATTGTTTCCTCAGACTTATTCTAGTGAATTATAGGAAAATAAAGTACTTCATTGTTCAAAAATATTTTTTTTTTCTTTTTTTTTTTTTTTTTTGAGGCAGAGTCTCGTTCTGTCATCAGGCTGGAGCCACATGGCGTATCTCAGCTCGACTGGGAACCTCCATCTCCTGGTTCAGCAATTCTCCTGCCTCAGTAGTCCCAAGTAGGTGGGCTCTACAGGCGCATGCCACCACGCCAGCTAATTTTTGTAATTGGACAGGGTTTCATCATGTTGGCCAGGATGGTCTCGATCTCTTGACCTTGCGATTCTGCCTGCTCAACCTCCAAAGTGCGGGATTACAGGTGTGAGCAGTGCGCCTGGACTTTTTTTTTTTGTTTTTGATATGGAGTTTTGCTCTTGTTGCCCAGGCTGGAGTGTGATGGCATGATCTTGGCTCACTGCAACCCCCATCTCCTGGGTTCAAGCGATTCTCCTGCCTCAGCCTCCTGAGTAGCTGGGATTATAGGATGTGCCACCACACCCTGCTAATTCTGTATTTTTTAGTGGAGATGGGGTTTCTCCATGTTAGTAGGCTGGTCTTGAACTCCTGACTTCAGGTGATCCCAACTTCAGCTGATTTTTTTAAAGGATTTTTTAAAAAAGATTTATATAGAGATATACGTACGTATTACATATTTATGTATTTTATATATTTATATAAAGAATTAACTGAAAGTATCATAGGATTATCATTTTAGTAGGTATTTAGTAGGTGGCACGCCCCATCACGCCTGGCTAATTTTTGTATTCTTAGTAGAGATAGGGTTTCACCATGTTGCCCAGGCTGGTCTCGAACTCCTGAGCTCAGGCAATCCGCCCACCTAGGCCTCCTAGAGTGCTAGGATTATAGCCGTGAGCCACCGCGCCCAGCCTTTAGTAGGTATTTTTGATAGCAAAATCTGGATTGCAGTTTGTTTTCAAATTTTCCATTCATAGCCCGGCATGATGGGTCATGCCTGTGATCCTAGCACTTTGGGAAGCCAAGGCAGAACAATTGCTTGAGTCCAGGAATTCAAAACAAGCCTGTGCAACATGACGGAACCGTCTCTTAGCGAGGCATGGTGGTACAAGCCTATAGTCCCAGCTACTTGGGAGGCTGAGGCAGGAGGATCACTTGAGTCTAGGAGGTAGAGGTTACAGTGAGCCAAGATCATGCCAGTGCGCTGCAGCCTGGGGGACAGAGTGAGACTCTGTCTCAAAAAACCCAAAAATTTCTATTTATTACTAAGGATATCAGTCATCATCAGTGCCACCACCAAACTGCAGGGATTTGGGAAGGCAGAGTAATTTAAACATTAATCAGGATAAAGGTATAAAGATCTGAATTTCCTGTTTCTGCACAATCATGAGATGCATTCCAAATTAAATATAAATAGGTCGGGTGTGGTGGCTCATGCTTGTAATCCCAGCACTTTGGGACGCCAAGGTGGGGTGGATCGCTTGATGTCAGGAGTTCAAGACCAGCCTGGCCAGCACAACCCTCCTAAATCCTGATCTAAAGAGTTTACTTATATAAACTTCTGAATAAGTAACAAGCGTTTCACTGATATGCCTTTTTCTTTCCAAAATCAACAGCATCCATGCACATTTTACTTCATTTAATATTGGGTTTTATGTTGAGGAGAAGGAAGCAATTAAGATTTTTTAACGCCGGGCGTGGTGGCTCACACCTGTAATCCCAGCACTTTGGGAGGTAGAGGCAGGCGAATCATTTGAACCCGGGAGGCGGTGGTTGCAGTGAGCGGAGATCAGGCCATTGCACTCCATTGTGCAATGGCGCAATCTTGGCTCACTGCGACCTCCGCCTCCCGGGTTCAAGCAATTCGCCTGCCTCAGCTTCCCGAGTAGCTGGGAGCAACAGCAAGACTCCATCTCAAAAAAAAAAAAAAAAAAAAAAAAAAAGCTGGGCATGGGCCTGTAATCCCAGCTACTCAGGAGGCTGAGGCACGAGAATCGCTTGAACCCTGCAAGTGGAGGTTGGAGGTTGCAGTGAGCCGAGGCTGAGCCACTGCATTCCAGTCCGGGTGACAGAGTGAGACTCTGTCTCAAACAAAAACAAAAAAATCTTTTTAAAAATCTAAATCTAAAAAACAAAATCTTAAAAAAAGTCTAAGGCTTTAAAATTTATTTTTATTTGGGGCAGCCTGCATTCTATACACTAGAATGAAAGCTCCTTCAATTATTAAAAGTATTATTGGATGATGGGAAACAAGAAGCCCACTTGCCACTTCAGAAAAGAATATCCTTTAAAGCAGTTGACTAACACTTATAAGACCTGAATTTGTCTTATAAATGTTCTTCTTTCCTTTATCTGCACCAATTAAGCATTGGGTAGACTAATCAGCTAAAGAGGGATAGCTAGGTAGACTGCTTTATAAGATGATATTGGGGCAGTCAGCTCTATTATATGATAGTTTAGGAATTTCAATTTGCAGATATCCACATAAAGAGGAAAGAAAGTCGAGTAGGTCTGCCAAAAGCTACATGACAAACATGATATTGGCACATGGGAATCAAAGCAAAGAATCTCTATCCAAAATATGCTTTGCTTATCATTCCAGATCTGCGTCTGGAGAATTTCAGTAGTTAGACTAAAGACCAACTCAACTGGGTGCAGTGGTTCACGCCTGTAATCCCAGCACTTTGGGTGGCTGAGGCGGGTGGTTCACAAGGTCAGGAGTTTGAGACCAGCCTGGCCAATATGGTGAAATCCCATCTCTACTACAAATATAAAAATTAGCTGGGTGTGGTGGTAGGCGCCTGTAGTCCCAGCTACTCGGGAGGCTAAGGCAGGAGAATCGCCTGAACCCAGGAGGCGGAGGTTGTAGTGAGCCGAGATTGGGCTACTGCACTCCAGCCTGGGCAACAGAGTGAGACTGCGTCTCAAAAAAAAAAAAAGTTGTTTTAATCAGTGTGACTGAACCAATATGAATCCAAAAGATCGTGAATGTTCTGATTACATGTATATGTAAATTTAATGTAAAGTTTTTGTATCATCCAGCTGAATGCAAAATTATTTTAAATAACTGTTGATAGCCTATACAGTGAAGATCACTATTGCCCCCTGGTGGGCATGTTGGGGTCAAACTTTGCTAAGAAATTATGTTTTCATTTAATAGCTATTATTGAAACCCTAGTATAAAATGGACCTTCAGGCCGGGCGCGGTGGCTCAAGCCTGTAATCCCAGCACTTTGGGAGGCCGAGACGGGCGGATCACGAGGTCAGGAGATCGAGACCAACCTGGCTAACACGGTGAAACCCTGTCTCTACTAAAAAATACAAAAAATTAGCCGGGCGTGGTGGCGGGCGCCTGTAGTCCCAGTCACTTAGGAGGCTGAGGCAGGAGAATGGCGTAAACCCGGGAGGCAGAGGTTGCAGTGAGCTGAGATCCGGCCATTGCACTCCAGCCCGGGCGACAGAGCAAGACTCCGTCTCAAAAAAAAATAAAAATAAATAAATAAATAAATAAATAAAATGGACCTTCAAATACAAATTCTCAAACTCTCACAACAACCTCATAAAGTAGGTATTATTATATCCCAGTTTTACTGATAAGTAAACAAGGCACAGAAAAGTATGAAGTTTTCCTAGGGTCAAGCAGCTAGTCAACCAATAATTATTTCAGCACAATTCTGATTCCAAAATTCCCCGTATATCACATATTGTTTCTTCTCTTTTACCACACTACCTCTCAATATCAATAGCTTAGTCAAGATCTTTCCTTTGACATTATAGAAACTTAACTAAGGATACTGTTATTTCAAATAAAAGAAACAGAAAAAGAAACCAATAGTCAACTGGAAAATTTATTTAAATGAGGACACAAGTTATTTCATTGTAAAACAAATATCTGTAAAAGGAGATGCTGACTGAAAGGCCAGGGGTGGTGGCTCATGCCTGTAATCCCAGCACTTTGGGAGGCTGAGGTGGGTAGATCACGAGGTCAGGAGATCGAGACTATCCTGGCTAACACGGTGAAACCCCATCTCTAGTAAAAATACAAAAATTAGCCGGGCGTGGTGGCACGCGCCTGTAGGACCAGCTACCTAGGAGGCTGAGGCAGGAGAATCACTTGAACCCGAGAGGCAGAGGTTGAAGTGAGCCAAGATTATGCCACTGCACTCCAGCCTGGGAAACAGAGCTAGACTCCAACTTGGAGAAAAAAAAAAAAGGAGATGCTGAAAACAAACTCATTCATTCTTATTTAGATAGATGGTTTTGTTGAAAACATACAGGTTTCTTTTTTTTTTTTTTTTTTTTTTTTTGAGTGAAGTTTTCACTCTCGGTTGCCCAGGCTGGAGCGCATGGCACCCATCTTGGTCCTACCGCAATTCCTCCTCCCAAGGTTCAAGCCTGCCTCAGCCTCCCAAGTAGCTGGGATTACAGGCACCCGCCACCACATCCAGCTAATTTTTGTATATTTAGTAGAGATGGGCTTCCATCATGTTGACCAGGATGGTCTTAAACTTCTGACCTCAGGTGATCCACCCACCTTGGCCTCCCAAAGTGCTGGGACTACAGGCAAGAGGCAGCACGCCGAGTTAAAAACATACAGGTTTCAAAAGATCAACACCAAGTAGTTTTCTCTGCTATTTTCTTTTTATATATGCACTCAAGAACAAATCCAGACTCTTATACTTTATTCAGATAATCACATTTACCTCTTTTATATCAGTACTCCAAAAGCCACTTATGTTTATTTTGCTTTGTTACTGCTTTAAACTATTAATGTTTATTTCCCTTATCAATATCATGTCGAGGCACCTTCATATTTTCATTTTTGGTCTAGGCATAACCCTTCAATAGATTAATCTGTAGAATATTTTCCTTTTTTCTAGAGACAGGGTCTTGCTGTGTCACCCAGGCCGGAGTGCAGTGGCACAATCATAACTCACAGTAAGTCCAACTCCTGAGCTCACGAGATCCTCCCATGTCAGCCTCCTGAGTAGCTGGGACTACAGGTATGCATCATCATGCCCACCTAATTTATTTTTAGTAGAGGATGGGGTCTCTCTATGTTGCCTAGACCAGGGTAACCTCAAGCAATCTTCCCACCTTGGCCTCCCAAAGCATTGGGATTACAGATATGAGCCACTGTGCCCAAGCCAGAATATTCTACTTTTAACATAATAAGTATTCCTTTGTAACTCCTATGTATGATTTTCCCTTCCCCAGAAAGAATAAGTACCTTAGCTTTAAAATCTATTACAAATCTTCTGCTTTGGCAATATTTTAATTATGGAGTATTAGAAAGGGTATCCATTCATCTCTTGGAAAATCTAGGGTTCTGTTCATTTTTGAGTCTAAAATAAATTTCATGTTATCAGAACATTACCTGAGGTTGTTTTGGTGTTGGCTGAAGAAACAAGGCTTGTGAGGTTAACAACCTCTCCCGATGTGAAGATGAATGGAGCAGCCATAGTCACAGGGTCAGTCACAGGGTTGGCTCTCTCTGGATTAACATTCACCTGATTCTGCATTGCTTCCTACCAAACAAGGCAGGATATTTCAGTCAGAACACTTATTAGCTTTTCTTTTCTTTCTTTCTTTCTCTTTTTCTTTTTTTTTTTGAGACAGTCTCGCTCTGTTGCCCAGGCTGGAGTGCAGTGGCATGATCTCGGCTCACTGCAACCTCCGCTTCCTGGGTTCAGGCAATTCTCATGCCTCAGCCTCCCAAGCAGCTGAGATTACAGGCATATGCCACTACGCCCAGCTAATTTTTTGTATTTTTAGTAGATACGGGGTTTTGCCACGTTGCCCAAGCTGGTCTAGAACTCCTGGGCTCAGGCAAATCGCCCGCCTTGGCCTCCTAAAGTGGTAGGATTACAGGCATGAGCCACCATGCCCAGCCCAAGAACACTTATTAGCTTTAGTTACACAGTTACTGAACAGCATATTCCACTCCCACCCCAATGCTCTATCAATCATAACTAGTTCCCATATACAATGTCCCACCGGAGATCAGAGTTCTCATTAAGACTACCTTTTTTTTTCAGACCAGGCCAACAGAGTTGTTAGGTTGCTTTCCAAAGCTTGTTTCTACTTCAGGAAAGCAAAGGTGTATTATCTGCAAAAACTTCTAGACAATTCATTTAACCTCTATGAATCTTGTTTTTTTTTTCATTTGAAAAATGAGGGAGTCAGGCCAGGTGCAGTGGCTCATGCCTGTAATCCCACCACTTTGCAAGGCTGAGGCAGGTGGATCACTTGAGGTCAGGAGTTTGAGACCAGCCTGGCCAACATGGTGAAACCCCTGTCTCTACTACAAAAGTATCAGCTGGGCGTGGTGGTGGGTGCTTGTAATCCCAGCTACTCGGGAGCCTAAGGCAGGAGAATTGCTTGAACCCAGGAGGCAGAGATTGCAGTGAGCCAAAATAGCGTCATTATACTCCAGCCTGGGTGACAGAGTGAGACTCCGTCTCAAAGAAAGAAAAAAGAAAAATGAGGGAGTTGATCTGAATAGTCTAAAAAGTAATTTCCAGCCGGGCGTGGTGACTCACGCCTGTAATCCCAGCACTTTGGGAGGCCGAAGCGGGTGGATCACAAGGTCGGGAGATCAAGATCATCCTGGCTAAAACTCGCGTCACTGCACTCCAGCCTGGGCAACAGAGTGAGACTCCATCTCAAAAATAAAAAAATAAAAATAAAAATAAAAAATAAAAAGTAATTTCCAGCACTAATATTTTGTGATTAATTATCTACAAGTCAGTGTGCTAGCAAGAGATCCCTGCAGAGTATCTACAGAGAACAATATTCTCTAGAGTTTTATCCAACTACTTGTTCCATTCTGCCATTGAAGAAATTCCTAAGAGAATATATAACAAGCAAATAAGTGCCAGATTTTAAAGTCTCACTCCATATGCTGTACTTTTGCTTCCAGGGATATCTGTTCAATTATGGTGAAAAGTAGCTTATCTTTATTTTATTACTTTCAGAAGCAATTTTCTGCAAGCATAATCACTACTTTAAAAAGTCCAGTTCTGAAAGGGCTCTAAACAAAGAATTGAAAGTTGAAGGGGCTAACCAGTCTATAGACCACCTGTCAGTTAGAAAAAAAAAATACTGAAAATGCAGCAGAAATGGCTTGCTTGCTTGCTTTCTCTCTCTCTCTTCCTTTTTTTTTTTTTTTTGAGACGGAATCCTGCTCTGTCGCCCAGGCTAGAGTGCAGTGGTGCGATCTCGGCTCACTGCAACCTCCACCTCCACGGTTCCTGCCTCAGCCTCCCAAGTAGCTGGGACTACAGGCGCACATTGCCATGCCCGGCTAATTTCTTTTGTATTTTAGTAGAGACAGGGTTTCATCGAGTTGCCCAGGCTGGCCTTGAACTCCTGAGCTCAGGCAATCCACCCTCCTCAGCCTCCCAAAGTGTTAGGATTATAGGTATGAGCCACCGTGCCCAGCCATAAATGACTATTTTTCATATATAATTATCCCCTTGACTAAGAGCTTCAATTGAAACAGGTTATCCATTCTTTGGATATTGTCAAATTCCTTCTTGGTTTTTTTTGAGAGTCTCACTCTGTCTCCCAGGCTTGAGTACAGTGGCACGATCTCAGCTCACTACAACCTCCACCTCCCAAGTTCAACCTCCTGCCTCCGTCTCCCAAGTAGCTGGGATTACAGGCACCTACCACCAAACCAGCTAATTTTTGTATTTTTAGTAAAGATGAAGTTTCACCATGTTGGCCAGACTGGGCTTGAACTCCTGACCTCAGGTGATTCACCCGCCTCGGCCTCCCAAAGTGCTAGGATTTCAGGTGTGAGCTACCGTGCCTGGCCTAAATTCCTTCTTGAATTTGCTGTTTTCCTTTATCCTCCACTAGGACATGAAGTGCTCACAGCATAAAATTAAAGATACGAAATAAAATATTATAATATTACATGATAAACAGACATCTAGTAAGTGCTATGGGAGCACACAGGAGGGAAGAGTAGTACCGCTACATGGTGAAATAGTAGCACTTCCTTGGTTCAATTTCTCATTGGCCCTTGCCTGGCCTAATGAAAGTCATCATATAGTTATTTAGCATTAAGTGTCTCTCTCTCATCTGTGTGTCACATCATCTTTTTAAAACAAATTTAATCATATCAGTCCTCTATTTAAAAAATTCTATCCAAATCCATCGCTCACATAACAGTTCAAACTCCTTCACATGCTGTAAAGCATCCCTACATTCAGAATCCAGCCTAACTTTCAAGCTTAGCATCTGCCACTCCCAAACTCTGCTTCCTTTGCCCATTCTCTCATCACTCAACTACTTTTTCTTGAACATTCCATGTTCTTTCACACCTCTGTGTCTTTGATTTGCTCTTATTCTAGCCTAGAATATAGTTTTCTCACTTCTCTGCCTACTTCAATATTCCGTTCAAAACCTACTATTCCCTCCTTTGTGCTCCCATAGCACTTACTAGATATCTATTTATCATGCAATATTATAATATTTTATTTCTTGTCTTTTATCATGCTTTGAACACTTCATGTCATATTAATTTTTTTTTTGAGATGGAATCCTGCTTGTTGCCCAGGCTCAAATGCAGTGGCGTGATCTTGGCTCACTGCAACCTCTGCCTCCCAGGTTCAAGCGATTCTCCTGCTTCAGCCTCCCAAGTAGCTGGGATTACAGACACACACCACCATGCCCGGCTAATTTGTTTTGCATTTTTAGTAGAAACGGGGTTTCGCCATATTGGCAAGGCTGGTCTCGAACTCCTGACCTCAGGTGATCCATCTGCCTCGGCCTCCCAAAGTGCTGGGATTACAGGCATAAGCAACCACGCCTGGCCCATGTCCTGTTAATTTTTATATCCCCTGTCCTATTGTTCCCTGATATACAGTGCTGGCTTAAGAAATTAATGGGCAGGCCGGGCACAGTTGCTCATGCCTGTAATCCCAGCACTTTGGGAGGCCGAGGCAGGCGGATCACCTGAGGTCAGGAGTTCA